TTTGTGGATCTATGTTTTAATTTCTTTTGGGTAGTACTTAGTTGAATATCCTGAGTTGTAAGATTGATATATTTTTAATTTTACTAGAAATTGACATACTTTTTTATAAAGTCATCTTTTTTTGTAAAACCAGCAATATGAGAGTTCCAGTAGGTCCACATCCTCACTGTTTGGTTCCAGCTTGTAATTTTAGCCACTCTGTGTGTAGTGGTATCTCATTTGGTTTTAATTTGCTGTTCAAGACAATTGATGATAATGAACATTTTTTCATAAGCTTATTGGCCATACAAATATCTTCTTTAGTGAAGATGAAGTGCCTATTATTCCTTTTAATCTGTGTATTTCCTCTTCCATTTCTTTTTGCCCTTATTTGAAGAAATAAGATTAACCTGTAGAGGTTTCCACAAACTGAATTTTGCCACTTGCCTTTCAGGGATATTTATTGACCACTTTTCTATTGTGTTTGGTTTTTTTTCTTAATAGGAACCCTTTATTCTTGCAGTGAGCTAACTAAATACCTTTCCCCTCAGTGCTTTGTCATTTTGTTTGCTTATCATGGCAGAAATTACTTTTATGTGGTGTAATTCTTATTTATTATTTTGGAGAGCATGCGAGTAGGGGGAGGGGCGGGCAGCAGGAGAGGGAGAGAGAATCCCAAGCCGACTCCATGCTGAGCGTGGAGTGCGACATGGGTCTTGATCTCATGACTCTGAGAAGACCTGAGCCAAAATCAAGAGGCGGATGCTCAACCAGCTGAGCCATCCATGCACCCCTGGGTGGTGCAACTCTTAAATCCTTCCTTTTATGGCTGCGAGGCTTTGTGTCAGAATTAGGTCATTATAGTGAAATGATTTTGAAAGTACCTGGTGAAAAGACATGGAAACCAAGGTAGACGAGAATATGAATGGATTCAGTGAAACAAGGATCACCATGGTATATTTAAGAAAAAGTCTTTAAAATGATCCTGACTGAATTTGAAGTCCATAGGTGAAATTTCACAAGTATATTCAAAGACGTGTGGTCCCAAAACATACCTGGTTCTAACTGAACTAAAGAGGCTCTCAACCTTTCTGTCACTTGGCAATATCATCCATTTCTTGGTCTCTTCAAGAAAGCAAATGGGGGAATACAAGTTTTAATATTGGGCTAATTTTTATTTTATTTTTATTTTTTTATTTTTTTTTAAAGATTTTATTTATTTGACAGAGACAGCGAGAGAGGGATCACAAGAACGGGGAGTGGGAGAGGGAAAAGCAGGCTTCCCGCTGAGCAGGGAGCCCGATGCGGGGCTCAATCCCAGGACCCTGGGATCCTGACCTGAGCCGAAGGCAGCCACTTAACGACTGAGCCACCCAGGCGCCCAATATTGGGCTAATTTTTAACCTGCTTTAACTTACAAGAATAAATTATTATTATTATTTTTTAAAATATTTTTTTTAAGATTTTATTTATTCATGAGAGACAGTGGGGGGCGGAGAGAGAGAAGCAGACTCCCCGCCGAGCAGGGAGCCCGATGCGGGACTTGATCCCAGGACCCCGGGATCATGACCTGAGCTGAAGGCAGATGCTTAACCATCTGAGCCACCCAGGCGGCCAAGAATAAATTATTTTTGATAGACCTTATAATTGAATATGAATGATGCTATTGTGTCAGAAAGCAGCACCCCCAAATGGTAAGGCGGTGTTGCTGCCTGGGGACTTTTTTGGCTTTTCTATCCTATCTGCCTGTTGGAGGTCTGAGTGCTCTCTCTTTACCAAGCTTAATTATTAACTCTTAGGAATCTGACATCCTCAGCAATGCTTACAACTGGTCACTGGCTCTATTTTTTAACTAATTTTATATTTCAATATGCTTGCTGTCTTTGAATAAAATTTGCCTTTTATTCTAGGTGTAGAAATTGTACATGTCAGATAACAAAGTTCTCTTATCCAAAAGTAGTATGTTAACAAAATTAATTGTCCTCAGGGATGTTGAGAATAAAAGATCTTGATAATTGACAAATCCCGTCTTAAGAAACCTTAAGATTTGACTTGAGGGACCTTTAAGGGGACATATTAGGCCAAATTATTTGAAAGGTGTTTTACTATAAATCAAAACATGGTCACTTCTGAAATACAGTTCTTTAAAAAGGGCCTACATTACATTTAGTCATCATGTCTCTTTAATCTCTTTTTTGTTTCTGATGACCTTGACAATTTTAAGGAGCACTGACTGGTCAGGTATTTTGTAGAATGTCCCTCAATTGGAGTTTTCTGAGGTTTTTCTCATGGTTACAGTGGGGTTATAGGATTTGGGGAGGAAGAACACAAGGGTGTCATTTTCACTACATCTTATGAAAGATTCATGTTTATCAGCATGACTATCACATCAATTTTGATCACCTGGCCAAGATGGTCTTTGCTAGGTGACTATATATAAATTTCCTTTTTTCTTTTTCTATATTGTACTTTTTAAAAAAATTGTACTTTCTATATTGTGCAAGTTACTAAGCACAGCCCACATTCAAGAGGTGGGAAGTTAAATAGCTACAAAATCATTTGGAATTTTTCTGTGTAGATGTGCCACTTCTCCCTCATTTATAATCTTTTATATCAGTATGGGCTCAGATATTTTGTACTTTGGCTCATAATCCCATGCTACATTATTTTGTTGCTCAGTTTCAGCTTTGGCCACTGGGAGCTTTTTATTGGCTTCTGTATCCCTTCGATGTCTCCCATCCCTTGGCTTTTATGCTACCTCCTTACTTTCTGGCATTACAAGATGTCCCAGACCTAGCATCAGCTGTTTCTTCAAAGAGCCCTGGTCCCTTTTAGTGGATAATGGTGTTAGAAACTAAGCTTTATGAGTGCCTGGGTGGCTCAGTCATTAAGCCTCTGTCTTTGGCTCAGGTCACGATCCCAGGGTACTGGGATCAAGCCCCGCATCGGGCTCCCTGCTCAGTGGGGAGCCTGCTTCTCCCTCTCCATCTGCCTGCCACTCCCCCTGCTGTGCTGTCAAGTAAAATCTTAAAAAACAAAAACAAACCCAAGCTTTAGTTTCTAATGAGAGAGTCGATATTGGGTTGTGCCCACTGCTACCGAGTGTTGGCTTCTAGACCCTCTCAGAGCGGTGTACGAACCCATATTCATCGTCCCCCTTCCCTCAACCCCTGGCAGCGACCATTCTACTGTGTCTGAATTCGACTGCTCTAGGGACCTCACACAAGGGGAGTCCTATCTGTCCTTCAATGACTGGCTTGTTTTCACTTCTAATGTCCTCAAGGTTCATCTGTGTAGTAGTATGTTTGAGAATTTCCTTTCTAAGGCAGAATAATATTCCATTGTGTGTATCTACTACATTGTTTCTTCTTTCACTGGTGGACGCTTGGGTTGCTTCCCCTTTTGGCGATTGTAAATGCTGCCATGAACATAGGTGTATAAATATGTTTGAGTCCCTTCTTTCACTTTCGAGTATAGTATACCCTGAAGGGGAATTGCTGTTACTACCTGGTGATTGCAATTTCTTCAGGACCCGTCCTACTGTTCTGCAGCGGCTGCGCTACTAGCAACACAAAGGAGTTCCAGTTTCTCGACGATTTTGATCAAAGTCCAACCCATGCTATTTTTGTTGTTGTTGCCTGTGCTTTTGGTGTCTTACCCAATAAACTAGTGCCAAATCGAATGTCAGACTCTTTTCCTGTTTTTTTTTTTTTTTCCTGAGTTCTAGTTCTAGCTCGTTTAGATCTTTGAACAATTTTGAGTTAATATCTGTATATGTTGTAGTAGAGGTCCCACTTCTTTTCCCTAGCATGTGGGCATCCAGTTTTCTCAACGCATTTGTTGAAAAGACTGTCCTTCAAGCCCCTTCTGCTCTTGGCACCCTTCTAAAACATCATTAGACCATATATGTGAAGGTTTATTTCTAAGCTCTCCTGTTCCATTGGTCTATGTTTTTATGCCAGTACCATACTATTTTTTTTTTTACCATACTGTTTTGATCACTAGCTTTGTACTAAGTTTTGACGTCAGAAGTGAGACCTCCAACTTTGTTCTTTTTCAAGATTGTTTTGGTTATTTGGGTGTCCCCTGAGATTCCATATAAATTTAGAATGGATGCTTCCATTTCTGCAAAAAATACTGGGATTTTTGATAGGATTACATGGAATCTGTAAATGGTTTTGGGTAATACTGGCATCTTAACAAATATTAAGTCTTCCAGTTAATAAACATGGGGTGTCCTCCCATTTGTTGTGATCTTTAATTTCTTTAGGCAATGTTCTGTAGTCTTTAGTGTACAAATCTGCCTCTGGGTTGTTTATTCCTAAGAATGGTATTCTTGTTGATGCTACCCTGTGAATAGTGGAAAGCACAATTTTTAAGGAAGACAGATCTGACATGAATTCAAGGCATTCATGACTTGGTTCCCTTGCTTTTGCGGACAGCTTCACTAATAGATCTTTGGAGTTTTGTTGGGGAAAAAAAAAGGCTAAGTAGCTTTATGTGTAAGTCACAATAAAATCTCAAGTGGCTAATTACATATTCTTCCTCACATTCCAGGTAGAGCTGCCTCTTTTCAGTTTGATTCAAAACTAATTATAAAATAGCTTTTGCTAATTTAGGGTAATTCTCCACATTACCTGTGTAGCACCTAGAACAGTGCTGAAAACCCGTAGGTGGCCAAAAAATAAGATGAAGAATCACACACACACACAATATTACTTAAAGGGAAAAAAACACTCAAAAACCTAGGCTAGAATTATTAGATTTTATTTTTCCCTAGTACTCTTAAAGCTCAGCTTCACCATGTAACAGGCCAGACATCCGGAATAACAACTCTTTCCCAGGCTATAACCCTTTTGAGGAGAATTTTTCAAGTATCATGGTTCCAGGATGTTTCCACCCCGGAATTCTAAACCAGCTACAGAATCATATCTTCTTAGGTCTTCATTAGACACATGTAACATAATCAAAATAGCACATACCACTGTTTTTCTTCCCTTGTGGAATGCACTTCCCCCTCTCTTCTTTTCCCCAAAGGGTTGTTATGAAGAGATGTTTAATTATCACACTTTCCAACAAACCTACCAGTTCTAATCCTTGGCTCAGAAGAAGGTAGCCTTTATTCAAAAAAAATTTAATAAATATTCTGAGCTAATTGATCTCAGCCTTGGACAAATTAAAATTGTTTTACTTTACACCTGACTAAGCTTTGCTTTCAATACCTATCTGCAAAGTCAAACCCTATCTTTAAAACACAATTTTCATTATGACTTGGGAGAGCAGGGAAGGCCTAGGAAGGGAGTTGGCTTTTATTTTGCAGGAGGACATTCTGAAAAGGGCAGATATTTACTTTTGAAGTCATTAAGTGGAGAAATGGCAAATGTTCCTCTTATTCTGATACTGAAAACTTGTAAGGCCAGGACCTTTCTGGTCCTGAAACTATAATAAATTACATTGTTTTAAGTACATTCAAAATTTATATTACTCTTTAATTTCTTTTCCCTGAGTTTGGGTTCACAGTTTGGTAGAGATACTTTAAAGAGGTAGTTAGTGGGGGTGAAGAGGAAACTGTTTATGTCTAGCACCACCTGGGGATAATATAAAACATCATTTTGATCTCAGTTAACATTTATCTTTCCCACTTTGAATCTGCAAACGTAATAGAGGGAGATGATCATTTTCCTTTTTTTTTTCTTATCTGTATGGACCCTCTCTCCTATTTTATCCACGCCAGTATTAATCACTATTCATAAAAATGAATAGCCCCTCCAAAGACATGTTATAAAATAAAGCCCTCAAGGTGGGGTTGTTTAGATTTAGAAGAGAGGCTCAAGTGAGTAACTTTTATTCATACAGTCATTAGGGAAAGTGAGCAAACCTTCCAGCACCCCCAGCCACTGCCTTTTCTCCCTGGACCTGGCTTATTTAAATCAGTCCTATCAACAATGGAGTTGATTCTAAGTTCTGGGCTCTAGGAGATCCTGACATCTAACATGGGTGGGGACACCGGTCCAGGTCTTGGCTTCCAGTCTTACGATGGGCTGGTGGAATACTGTTTCATCAGACGCTCGTGGCAGGGATTGCAAACTCGCTCAGGCTTGATACTTGAAGGAAGAGGCAGTTCGTTTGTTGAGCAGGCATTACAGAAAGTTCCTCTGCAGTTCTTACACACATTCTACAAGGAGAAGAGGGAGGTTAGGCGGGGAATAGAAGGGCAGAGTATACGGGTGCATGGGATATAAAAGGTCAAATACAGTAAATGCTCAATGCCTCATCAGGTATTGACTGAATGTTTGCTAGGCGCCAGAGAGAATCTGATCAAACACCATCTCTGTCTACAAAGAAGCTTACTATCTAATTCTTAGATCTAAATGAAGAGAAGCAGTGCCAGAGAATTCCAAAAGAACAGATAATATACAAATAATTTATCTTTAGAATACTTTTAGTCATTACATTCACTTTTAGGTGGGCTAATTCTAAAATCAGTTTGTAAGTACCTAAGAATAGTCCAAATAAGGCAGGCAGTGAGTGACCTAGCAATGGACTGGGTAGCCAGCCTAGGATTTCAAGTTTTGCTGAGCATGAACCGGAAGTATAATTCCTAATACACTGATGTACTTACTGCTCTCCTAGAATGCTCTATAAGGTCATCCTTTGGGATATCGGTGCAGCAGGAGCACAGCTCCCTGCATCCTCTTTACAGGGAAATTAGTTTCTTTATGAAGCATTTTGAGTCTTTAGTGGTCATGCAATGGGGCGGCACGTGGGTTATTATGCAGTGTCACTGGTAAGGCTGTGATAGGGTGGTGCACACGTAGCTCCATGGGACCCTATATAAAGGCTGTGAAGAGTCACTTCCCCCATTAATAATGCCACTTTCTCCCAAACAATTCACCTTCCTGACGGTGCAGTAGAGGTAGGGGGTCACTTTTATTTGAAAGCCTGAGAGGAATTTTCCTCTGACATACTGCAGTTACTCTGCATGGCTAAGAAAAGCCAGAATTAGATTAGCAGTTTCTTTATATGGGGACCTATTTCTAGAATTCCAATTCTAATTCTATAAAGGCAGTTCATCTTTCTCGGATTCTGCTAATTTAAGACTAGATCACGTAATTTTGCTTGTTAAAATTCAGCAAGATCACAAATGGCGGCATGCAGGTTGCAATCCAGAATTTGGGCACATTTCCTTATCTCTTCCAAACACCTGTTTCTTACAGTCATTTGTCCATTTCTTGAGCATCTACAATGAAATGGGCACCATATTACATTCTGGGGGATACTACTGTGAGTGGGTCAAAGACCTGGCTATCAGAACACTCACTGTATCTGAACACTTCCTTCACTCTGCCTGCTCTAACAAACTGGGGAAGTGCTCTGCCAGAGACCCCTGATGATCCGAGGGGAAAACGAGTGGTTTTGGTGGAGAGGGCTCATTTCCCTCGCAGAGGCTGATTCTCCAAATAATTCAAAGAATCCCCCCCCATGCCCAACTATCTGATTTGTTCTAAGCAGGATGAAGTATTAGAGGAGTATAGATTTTGGGGCCAAAGTCAGGTTGCAACCTGTGGGCTTTGCCACTTACGACTTGAGTCAACTTTGAGAAGTGTACTTAAAATCTCTGAGCCCAAGGTTCTTCATCTATAAAATGACGGCACAAAGGAGATAAGCTTTACAACAGGGACTTGGTCTACGCTTGTTCATTTCTCTTTCTCCAGCACATGAAACAGCACATTCCACACAATAGGCACTCAATAAACATTTAGTTATAAATTTAATCTTTAAGTTATTTATATTTATTTTAATGGGGATTTACTGACATGACTTACTATGACTGAAAAAAAAATAACTATTTTTTAAACAGGTATTTTATAAATGCTTTTCTTTTTGCACTTCTCCCCACTCTGAACACAGTAAAGTCCCTATTATTGAAAGGGACATCCCTATGAAGAACCTGTTTGGGTCTCACCACTGTTACCTTGGTTCGGCTGCCATCTTCCTGGCACAGCTGACACGTCTGTGGCTTTTCAGAGAGCACTGGCTGATCCTAAACCACATATTAAGCCAGTTAGTTTCTCTTAGCCCCAGAAATATTAATACTTTCAGAATATTCATTTTCTTAGTTACAAAATTAACAAAACCACACTACAGACTATCTGGAAACTAAAACAAATGACATATGGTTCTAACACCTTAATACAGCTCTGGTAATCCCATCAATATCCTTGGAGCTCTTTTTATTTTTATAAAAAAGTAACGTGACTTTATAAAAAGAAAAGTCTAGGATACGAGTATGAAGTAGAAAGTTAAAAAAAAGTCCTGTCCCTCTTGTCCTACTGTATCAAGAATGGAAAGCAGTAGGCTCAGTCACAGCCACATTTATCATCTTTCTCGTGCAGTTGTCATATCCTATTATACTTGCAAAGTATCTTGCAACCATTTATATTTGTTTATTTCCAAGTGATCAAGACGCATTTTTTTCTGTTTTATGGAAGGGAAAACTAAGGGAAAAAGAGGTACAGTGAGTTCTCTTAGGTCCCACGGTATGGCAAAGAGAATTTCAAGTAAGAAGTGAGACGTGCTGTTTACTTAGTAAATTGCTCAGAGCTCCGCTACTTCCGGTGACAGTTTCAGGCAAATGCGTGTTTGTTAAGGATGCTGTTAAAAGGATGGGCCCCAGGGGCCTGTGTGCATTCACCGACTTTCCAGGCTGCCTGTGCACAGCTAGGGGGTAGTCCAGCCAACTACGTAATTCATACCAGACGTCCGAGAGCGGGAGAGTCCATTACCTGCTCATCCACAGGGTGAGACTGCAGCCTACAACGGAGAATTAGAAAGAGGAACAAACAGCAACTTATTATATTTCTATGTGAATGATTCAAAAGCACAGAAAAAGCAACATGGTTCTTTTATGTTGTTGGGACTGACATAGTTGTCAATCTTGACCTCCAAGGAGAGGAAATTTTGGTTGTTAAATCTATTAGCAGAATCTGATCCTTGACCTACATTATGGTTCCTGTTTAAAAACAGATTTGGAGTTATATTCTATGCTTTGTTTTTACTACCAAGAAAATAGTTTAGCATTTGTATCCCAGCCTGTAAAACTCCAATGGTCAGTGCTATCCATTTTAATACCTTTTGTTATATTAGTCTACCCATTATATGTCATGTATTAGTCCCCTCTTCCAAATGTCCTTAAAATGTGAACTTTTTCAGCAAATTAATCAGGGTAAGGGGAATGAATGGGACTGTCACGGGAGTACCCATTCAGGCTGAACTATTTCTTCCCAAGACCCACCTGAGCTCACCCTGATTTTCCCAATTTGGAAGAGAATTTAAGAGGAGCAGTTCTGGGGATAATACACTACAGATCCACAGTGGCTCTGAGTCTCTTCCACAGAGTGGCAGTGTGACCACCAGTGTGACCAGGTTTCCAAGCTGTTCCTTGGACCATAATCCCAAGAAACCTGGCTATGTTTTAGGATTGTTGTTCCGGCCAGGACAGGCTTTGGAAGCAGCTATTACATTGAGCAAAGGAATCAACAAAGAAAACAATGTAAGCAGAGGCCACTTATAGGTGAGACACCTCACCTCTCTGTGCTCCTCAGTTTTCTCATCTGGAGAATTACATTTTTAAGGAGATAATGAATGTGAAACACACTATTTAAGCTGCAGAGCACAATATAGGTATAAGGTAGTGTTGTCTTCTATTCCCATGGCCGAAATCAGAGGCTGGCATGTAAGGTGCTCCTGACTGTCTGTAAATGGCTTGGTTTTAGTCTGGAATGGGGCTGATTCTGAAAGGCTCTTTTATGCCCTCGTTAATTTTACAAACTTTCTAGTTCATTTCTGTGGCCCATGCTGATCTGTAGGGTAGTTTAAGGTTAGTACTGGATCAGGCCGTGCTCTCTTAGGGAGTAAACTTAAAGGCTTTGGAATCATTCTGGCCTTGGAGGTCAAGTACCTGCATAACGAGTCTTTTGTTGGGACTGGGTGATTTTTCTTTTCCAGCAGTGACTTTGCTCAGGTAACACTCTACCTCATTCTTGAGGGATCAAAGCCTGGACAGGGACAGTTGCCAAAAATGTATGCTGTATAGTGCTCTCCAAGCCCCTCTATGCTATCTTTCTTGTTACTAACCTTTGCTGCTGTTGTTGTAACAGACTGATTCTGGGAGCCATTTTAGGTTCATAGCAAAACAGAACAGAAAGTACTGACGTTTCCCATACACTTTGCCTGCCCTCCCCCCTTCCCCCAGTATCAACATTCCACACCGGGCCGGGGCGGGGGGGGGGGGCAAACGATGTGACAATCGATGAACCTACATTACACATCATAACTACTCAAAGACTGCAGTTTGCATTAGGGTTCACTCTTGGTGTTGTACATTCTAGGGGTTTGGACAAATGGAGGACATATATCTACCATTACAGTACCATGTAAGTATTTTCACTGTCCTAAAAAATGCTCTGTGCTCACCCATGAATACCCCCGAACCCCTGGCAAGCACTGTGTCCGTGATTTTGGCTCTTCCAGAATGTTATACAGTTGGACCTCCTTCGCTTTTTAATGCAGTGGCACCATGTAATATTTTGTTATATTTCTACCTGCTAAAATAATTATTAAAAGTCAATTTCCTTGAAACAATCCTAAGGTTTTCATAGTGAGATCAGATGAAGCGTTAAGAAAAAGGCATCAAATTAAGCTGTTTGAGACCCTTAAGAGAAAGGACACAAAGAAAATTAGAGAATTTATTTGAAACATAGCTGCCTTTCACGTAGCATGTAGGTGGAAACAAGTCATGCTCAAGTACATTTAAGAACCTAAGAATTGCTATGATTTGTATTTCGTTCCTCTGTGATCCCAACCCAGGAAAGATGAGAAATAATCTTTGAAGTGATAATTTGAGTTTGGGGTTAACCAGGGAAGAGTCAGAGGACAGCTTGATCACCCTTCTTTCTTCTGAAATGGATGAAGTGGGTTTGGTTTAATATGTGTTCCCTGGTTGATTTAGTCACTCCCCCTTCAAAGTGCTTTTCTGGAGTATTAATGTTGTAAGTCAGTGTCTGGTCTGTGCCATTGCCAATTATGTCAAAAGCTCCCTCTTTCCCACCATCCCCCAAAACAGCTTTATGTCTTCGTTAGTACTTTATTAACAAACACCTGTGGCTTCCGTCCAGGGGCTTTTTTGGTTTAACGTTTTCCTCTTGAATTTTGTGCTTCCCATCCTGCCAAGAGAAAACAGCCCAATTTCTTAGTTATTCAGAAGGCTCCACAGTGACGATGCTGCAGACATTTCTTCGGTACTGTCTTAGCTTAGGTATAAAACTAAGCAGCTTTTTTGTTAGGGAAGGAATTTAACTTTCAAGGTATCTTCCCTCATTCTTTGCTCTAAGTAGTTTCTTAACAAATTATTCTGATAGAGTTTGCAACAAATGATTTTCAGAGTAGATATTTTCCTTCTTAACTCTTTCAATTCAAATAAAATTCAGAATATATCCTATTTATTTACAGAGTGAGCTTACTTCTTAGGGTATCTTAGTTACTTCCGTGTATCTACCCCTGTCTCCACCCCCCACTCCCAGCTGAGCTCTGAAAAACTGGGGAAACCAGGCACCACCGTATGGAGCAGACTGTAATCCTCTGGCACTCAGCCGAGCAGCTGCCACCATGTCACAACAACTTACGCAGCCTATACAACCTGAGGCGTGTTCTACTCTGAAGGACCAATGTCAAGTTCCAAACTGCATTTCTACCAAAGCTTGTAAGCCCTGCCTGGGCAGTTTTTAGCGACAAATTCTTTCTGTGGCACACACACACTGCTGTCCATCAGCCTCCAAAAATAGGATGCACGTGCTTACACCACTCGTGTCAAGGAAAGGAGGTTAACGCAGTAGTTACACTCCTGGAGTCTCTACTGCAGGGCAGTTCAAGACTGAGGAACGTAAGGCCTCACTGGAAAAGCAGGACAAGATCGGACAAGAATATAAGTAAATCTCTGTAAGCCCTGCTAAGTAGATTTCACGTTTGTTAAACTAAACTAATAAAGATGGCATGCTACAAAAACAGTGGTATTTTGCACACTTTAAATGGGTAGTAATGAGTACTATATAATACATTTCTATTTATCATTATTTGCTACTCTCCAGCAAATTGGCATCTCTCTAGAAATGTTAAATAAGAAGCTTATACATTTGTCCTGCTTTGTTATATATAATATAAACAAAGAAGCTACTTTTTTCCTGTGTTTGTCTTTGAGTAAGTATTCCGTACTTTTCTGATTTTATTGTCTGAAGAGATTGGCTCCTGTTTCCTGGGTCCCAGAGATGGTCTTATTCAAGGAGCTGGGGGTCTCTCTCCTAAGACTGTTCTGTAGAAACTTCTACTGCTGTTCTTTAAACATTCTGTATCACTTTCTTTCCCCCAAGCAACTCTAGTTCCCTCTTGTTCTAATTTTCCCAAGAGAAGTACCTTCAGTATACTAAAACTGAAATCCTCATGATTCTGAAAAAGGCATAGAGAAGCAAATCCACATTTAAGACAATTCTGTTAAAGGGAAATTCAGAGTTGGGAAGGATTACTATAACATATTATTAAAGATACTAGCCAGCAGAAGTCCAAGGAACACAAGTGTTTGTTAAGACACCCAAATAATCTTAAAGTGAAAGGGATAAGAGGGTCCCTGGAAATCATGGTTATGAGGCCTCTTTTCCATGTGAAATGAAGTTAGAGCATCTAGAGGCAGACTGAGAATCAAGGCCTTGTGTTCACTCTGGGTCTTGTCTGCAGTCTGCACACTCGAGGCCACAGCATCAAGCTTGTGTTCCCAGAGAGAAAACTGTCTGGCCCATCAAGGCAGCCTCTAAAAATTAAGTGAATGACCAAGGGAGTAATCCAATATTACCGTTTTGGGTTCTGGCTTCTGAGAAACCTTTCCTGGGATGCTCCTGTTGTTTTGTAACCTTCTTTCTCTTTCCAGTTTTAGTTCTAATTCAAGCTGATGCCTGGGATGGGCGGGAGAGGAAGAGGGTCAGAATTTGGATTTCTGCACTCATATTCTCTAAGGAAGGTCAAACCCTTCTCTTAAAGCTCAGTAATGAAATTTTAATACTTGATGAATAAAAAGTTACCAGATATATACGGACAATCAGGTTTTAAGGTGTTAGAACACAATACAGTAAAACCAGTAACACTAAAATACAGACAATGTTTAATCTTTCTTGGATAATTCAGAATGTACTTTAAGGGGTGGCTCAGTCGGTTTTAAGTGTCTGCCTTCGGCTCAGGTCATGATCTCAGGGTCCTGGGATCCAGCCCCACATGGGGCTCCCAGCTCAGCAGGGAGTCTGCTTCTCCCTCTGCTCCTCCCCCTGCTCATGCTAATAAATACATAAATAAAATCTTTAAAAAAAGGATGTGCTTTAAGATCTCCCAGTGCCTAAGGGTCACCACTCTGAATATCAGTATTTAATATTAACTCTTAAAGAGTTGTAGTCAACTGAATGACATTTAGTAGGATTTACTATAATTAAAAGACAGTATTTACAAAATTTCAGCAAGAAACAGTAAGAAATCACCAACACTGTCGTCCCATTTCATCTTAATTAGCTGGTCTCTCTTTAATGTTCAATGCCCAGTTCCACTGCCAGCCACTAGTATGCTTAATAGCCATGTGCTTTTATAACCAACAACAAAGTTCTCTTTGTTTGAAGTCAGTGACTCCAGCAAAGAACTGAGTCTCATTTGACAGACAATATGGAAGAGTGGTTAAGGACTCGGGGTCAGAGAGAGACAGACTTTTAGAGTGCTGCCGCTTACTAGCTGAACTGTGTCAATCTGGACAAACTGAACCCATCTAAGCTTTAATTAATTTCATCTGACAATGGGGGTAAGACAGTTACCTACTAACTGGGTTGATGGGAAGATGTCAGGACCAAATGCCTATGTAGTACTTTGTAAAGTTCGCAGCACACAGTAAAAATTTAGGGAATACTATTATTATCAGTGTGATGTTGGCTATTAACTCTCATTCCTTTCTATTTATCTGGGATCTTGGGTTCTAATTTCCTCCTTTGATGGCAAGGCATGTTGACAAGCTTTGGAAATGTTGATATATGCAAAGCTTCCTGAATGCTAATTCCAGAGAAAGGAAGTTGCAAGGACAGAACGGAGAGGGCTGGCCCAGGGGTCCTCCTTCTCTTGCTGCTAGCCTTAGAACTACCCCCCCGGCCCCCCCCCCTGCCACCCCGGGGCAGCTCCTGGCACCCTTTCTTCACCGCTGCCTGGTGAGCTCCTCTACTTCCAGCTGCAGACTGTTGATCTTGTCTCCGAAGTCCTGCTTGAAGAGACGGTTGTCCAACTCGGCAGACTGGCGGCCTCGCTCAGCCTGGCGCAATCTGGATGTGAGCCATATGAACTTGTGATAAAAAACAAAAGCCATGGTGGGGAGGAAGACCAAGTTTACAACACAAACTAAAGCAACCCAAGGAAGAAGGCGTGGAGAGACAGAGGAGAGGGGAAAAAAAAAAAGCTTTGCAGGACACAGGGGAAGAAATTATACGGGGGGAGGGAGGGGAAGATGGAGAAGAAACAAACTCTAAAGAAAAGCAAGATGGAGGTGAACCAGGCAGAGGAAAAGTTGATTTTCCATTTTTTTTTTATTCTAGTACTACAGTTTACAGCCATTAGATGATAAACAATAAAACATCACTTTTTAGAAAATCCATATCCAAAGCCAACACAGTCCATTAAAGTTAAACCCACTTTTTTGTGTTTATTTCCTAGTAGGTTTGGTACCTTATATTTCTGCTTTACACACATAACTGGAACTCGCAAATGGGCAACTACTTTCTCATATGTGAAATTAGAACATTTTCCTGGTCCTTTCCCTACACCACAACTTATATTAAATCACTGACATTGTACATTAACCCTTACCTAGGCTTTGAGTTCTTCTCTAAGGAAAAGCCTTTGTCAGAGTTTGGCCGTCTCTTTCCTTTTCCATTCCTACCAGGTGGTGTGTGACCAAGTGGACAAACAACTCAGGACTGGGCCTATGTAAGATTCCTGATCATATTCTCTGAAAAATTCTAATGAATGTTTTCTTCTATATATCCCATAACTTTGCACCTATAAAGAACCATGTTCTAAGGGGTGAAACATCTGGGGCTCTATAGAATAGAATTGGAAAGCATGCTATCTGTAGTCTTTAAAACATTTTATTTTAGTGGTTGAGCACTCTTTCCAAATGCTCATAGAAAAGGCAACTCATCACCACAAAAGGTTGATGAAGATAAGAATAGGTGCAAAATTATAAGAACTAAAATAAGTTCAAGAGCACAGGTTATTCCATGAGGTTGGTAATATGCTCTTTGACTTGACTTTGGTTCAAGTCTGTAAGGACCTATAGAAGCACGCGTGAAATCTCTTACTCTCTTAATTCTGGTTTTTCCAAGAAGAAGGTAAAGAGTTTCAAAAGCTGGAAGCAAAGGGGGGTTATCTTTGTTCCCACCTAAGCAGCTGAAATGCTGCAAATCATAACAAAATGAGAAAAAATATTTTTTTTTTGCCAAGACTTTTTGAAGAAATGAAGGCTTATGTAAAGCCTGTTCCCCCAAATCAAAAGTCATTAAAAAAAAAAATCCAAGTATTTATAGGATTATTTACAATGTAAAGCCTAGAAAGGGGAGTAGAACTGTGGTCACTTAGAAAAAGAAGCCCTGCTAATTACTATGTATGGATATCTACTGGGAATTTTTATTTTTAGACTAAATAATAAAGAGTTTATCATGTATCTAGTTCCTATGCTGAAATGGTTTTCTAATAATTAGATTGTTAGTTTCCCAGAGATGTTAGCAAATCCCCATCTGAACAGAAATTAATAGAAACTTCTAAGTAAATGTCTCTAGCAAGAAGTGACAGGTGGGAAACCATCACTCATGTCTATACCTTGCTGTCTTTACTCCAAAAGGAACAGCAGGATAGATATGAAAATTGTGTAGTGTCGTGTTTTTTGTTTTTGTTTTTATGGGAGATGAGTTTTTTCATTAAAATTATTCTCTCTGAGCTACCTAAATAGGAAGTGGAATTGCAGGAAAATGGCAGAGGTAGAAGATGACAAATATTAGGAGGGTTTTCCAAGCTTCCACGTTATGTTATCATAAGTTACCTAATCACTAACTTTATCTCTATGTACTTTAAAGAAATGTAAGGATGTGGGTTCCCTCCCCCGCCCAAAGTCACTAAGGCAAAAAAGTTGCAAGCAATCTTAGTTACTGAGAACAGAACTGTAGTGAAATACTAAGTACTTATCCGTGCCTTGGGGAGTAAACCTACACAAGGAAAGTGGAAAGGGACCATGGCCTAGGAGACAAAGCGACTGTAGAAGAGTCCAAGTCCATACGGCTATCACCTCTGGTTCATTACACTGCAATGGCAGAGCAGGCTCGCTGGTACGGACAGCGCACCGAGAATCTGATACTGTCTGGGACTGGGCTGTAAAGGCATCAATAATATATGCACAGAGTGTCCATTCCCTAGGCTGTTTTTTTTTAAATGGTGTGTTTATTTATTGGTCAACAAAGTAATTTCTCAAAGTTTATTCGGCAAATAATTAAGCACTTATACTAAATGCTCTAACTCTGGGGAGAAAGTAAGGAAGAAAAAACCCACGGCCTAGATATCAAATTGTTTTTTTTTTTTTAAAGTCCAACAAATTCAGAGTCAATTTTTGGTGACGTTTTATGTAGAATCAGAGCTTAAATGTAATAACTTTCAGATTTCTTTCTTTACAATTAAGTTGTACATCAGACTTGCGAGGTGACCAAATGCAAAATGCCTAATGATGTTTTGGGATCAGTTTATTTGCTGCGCTATTTAAGGTCTTTGCCTGTTTCACCAAATCCTTTTCACTAAATTAGTAAAATAAAAATAAAAATGGAGTGAAAGGGGAATGAGAAAATGAATAAATGGGAAAGACAAAAATAGCAAGAGAATAAGTCAGCTTAATACTTGAAGAAGTCATTATTTTAGTTCTATCTACTTCAAATGCCAAGTCAAAAAACTATTGAAAAATAATTCTATGCAACATTTCAAAAACCCAATTTAGGAACACCAAAATTAATTTGTTAAATCATAAACATATAACTGCTTATGAACAAGCACTTAGGGAACTTTCCAGATGGACTGATACCTTTTTATTTAAAATCAGCCAAATCAGAAGTTTCAAACGCATTTACTGATTTGCAATTAACTTGTGAGTTACTATTAACATGCAGTGCCATTCAGGACGCTCCCTGGTTAAGAATTATCTGAATAAAACAAGTCATCCATTCATCTGTTCACTCATGCATCTGCTAAGTTGAATGCCTTGTATGTTCATGGCATTAAGACAGATCCAATGAAGGAACTTAAAAAATTCATTAAGTAATCTGGAGGAACTCACACTCTCATCAGAAGATACATATATAAAGGGTTATAACGTGGGACAGAAGGTGACAAGTAAGCAGTATGGACAGGTATGGATGTAAGGCTATGGGAATTCCAAGAAGGACAATGGGTAGATTATTTTTATCTGAGAAGCAGCATCAGCGGAAGCTTTAGGAGAGGTGGGGGCATTTGAGCCTGAATGTAAAAAACGGATCTGAAGAACAAGGCAGCGGATGAGGAATGGCCTTCCTAGCTGGCGGAGCTATTAGGCAAGGAATGGATGGAAAAAGTGCAAGCGTGCGCAGGGGCCTGCAGTCGTGCAGTCTGGCTCAAGTGAAAGAAGGGTGATCAGTGGGTGTTCCAGGTGGAAACGCAGAACGACTGGCCACGCGGAATGTTCCTTCAATCTTGAAATCTCGGCCATTTCTCTTGGCAGCTAAGTCACCATAAAGAAAATGGCGGTTTCAGCCAAACAGAAACAAAAGTAGCACAGGGAGAGGATGTGTTTCGGGCAGACTGAGATGTAGGGACCAGACAGAAACAGCTGGTCGGAGGATGAAAACCCAAGACTGGGTTTTTAGAGGGGGACAGAGCTGGAGACAGACCTAAGATTGTGGGCAGGGGTGACAGTGGACACTACAGAGAAAGAAGAGAGAAAAGGGAGATAGGAGGGAGGAGAGAAATGAGTTCCAGTGTTAGAAGGGCCTTCAGCAACCTGGTATCACTAGCACCAGTGCATTCCAAGAATTTGGTAATGAAGAGTAAAACAACAACTGCAAACATATGTAAAAGTGCTTTCAGGGCGCCTGGGTGGCTCAATCAGTTAAGCGTCTGCCTTCGACTCAGGTCATGATCTCAGGGTCCTGGGATCGAGTCCCACATGGGGCTCTCCGCTCAGCGGGGAGCCTCCTTCTCCCTCTGCCCCTCCCCCCTTGTGCGTGCATGCTCGAAATTTCTCTCTCTTGCAAAAATAAATAAATAAAATCTTTAAAAATTAAAAAAAAAGTGCTTTCACCCTTGTAGGTCTCCCTCCTCTAACATGACACTGAAATGGGATTATGGAAGAGGGTCACCATTCTGCTGTTCAAAACAGTCAGGAGAGGCTGAGGTTTCTTAAAAATGTTTTCAGTGACATCTCAGAGAAACACAAAATTTAACTGGCTTTCTACCAGAATGTCTGGTGTTAAGTTGGGAGAATTTCATACACTTTGTTTGCCAAATGCACAGCACATTCTCTTCCCTTCCAGCACTGAAAGTCCAAGATGTTTCACTCAAGAAATAGCACTTTTACCTTTGTTCGAGTTGTTTGATGGTAGCAGCCATCTGATTAGTCTTCTCTTCCAAACGACTGTTTAGTTCACTTTTCTGTTTTACTCCTAAGTCTGAACTCTGTTATGGAAAAGAAGTATGAGTGATGGACAGAGAATATAAAATCCTGAAATAAATCACATATGCTTTTTGAACCCAATGGTAAGTATGAAACAGAGAAACAGAAATGCTCATATATTTATCAGTTAACTCCCAAATGGAGAGAAACAAAAAGCAACGTTTAAAATTAGTACTGCCATATGCAGTTTTGTCACAGAAATGAACATCAGAAGGTTCATCAGTAATCATATTTCAGTATAAGAACTAATGGCATATTGCTCAGCAAAATCAGTCAGTCAGAGAAGGACAAATACCGCATGATTTCACTCATGTGTAATTTAAGAAACAAAACAGATGAACATAGGGGAAGGGAAGGAAAAATAAAACAAGACAAAATCAGAATGGGAGACAAACCACAAGACACTCTTAACTCTAGGAAACAAACTGAGGGTTGCTGGGGGTGGGGGGTAACTGGGTGATGGGCATTAAGGAGGGCGTGTGAGGGAACGAGCACTGCGTGTTCTATGCAACTGATGAATCACTAAAGTCCACCCCTGAAACTAATAATACACCATATGTTAAAAATTCAATTTAAATAAAGGATGACAAAAAAAAAAGAGCTAATGGAATATATAAGTCAGTTGACAGGTTAGGCTGGAGTGTAGAAATTATCTTATAGGATAAAAAAGACCTGTTTTCCCACTACAATTTGAAAAGTAGCCATGGCTTTCCAGAACAGCAACACAGGATCCTATGACGGGCTGATTCCTAAAGTGGTTTACTGGCAACCAGCCTCAAAATGAGACGTGACTCTTCCCTCCTGCATGTCAAGTGTGATTCTAGAGAACAAGAGGGGCGGGGGGAGCCCCGGGAGTTGAGAGAGCCCGTGAGCGTACCCCTCTCATTCGCCCTACCTGCAGCTTAAAGGCAAGTTCGTGCTTGAGAGCCCTGAGGTCATCCAGCTGCTGTCGCAGCGACACCAGGGCGTCCTGCTTCTCGCAGACATCCTTCTCCAGCATCTTCATAGCTAATTCCATCTCCTGTCTCATGCTGATCTGGATCTCCAGTTCTTTTTCAACATCCTGCCCCCAAAGGTAAATAGATTGCTTACTCTCTCTTTCCTCAACAAAGTAAAAACTATGAAATTCCACAGGAAAAGGTGTAAATTCCAACACTCTCAGGTCTGACTATTTGGGCAAAATAGCTACAAGCCACCATTCAATGCAGAGATATTAACAGCTAGAATAATAATTAGGATAATTATAAAAACATTTACTCAAAAATTTACAAATCCAAAAAACTTGGTGGGCCAGAGATAATGCTATTTAATATGTCTAAAATAGACACATACTTGCGGCACTTCATTACAGTGAGACAACTGGTGTCATGTCCTATTACAGAAATGTATATAAAGTGCTACTGTAGCCAGCATAAAATGAAGCACTTGCAATTCTCTTCATTTTGGATGTTGACGTCATAGTCAAGAGCCAAAGGAACCCAAAAGATACTTTGGGTCCCCAGGGTAAACATCTCAATAAGTGGGAATGATCGATATGACTAACTGAATTTTTATATTCACTTAGCATGAAACCCCTTTTTGGTTCAATCATTATTACTGCAACATGATTTGGAGGATCAAAGATACAACGACCTGCGGTTCTTCTGCATCCATGCTGTTCCCTGGGGCATATCTAGGACCTACTTGCTTGGTTTCTTTCCTTTTTGAACAAACATGTATCTTTTCGTGACAAAAGGATGTGGAAAATTTTGTGTCAGATTTTAAAGTCACGTAATTGAGGTGCTCCTCTGTGCATGGTTAGCTTGATTAAATCAGATTGCTTCTGAAAATGCTGACATACGTTATTTTAGGATCTTTCATATAGAAAGTATTTTGAGACCTAATCCATAAACACGTAGAAGGAAAATGATAATTATTTCAAGGATGTTAAAATTATATTGCTGTCTTCTCAGAACATCTGAAATTCTATACACTGTTAGGTGGTGATAATTTTTAGTACAAACCAGATCACCTTTATTTTCAGGCTCCTTCCTATTTTCAGAGACACTATTGGTGAGCGGAGATCCTTTTGTTTGTCATATCATCAAAATTGCAGGAGGAGTTAATTTACCAATACCAGGGATGTATCAATATACTAACACTTGGATAAAATCTATTACAGGAGTATTATTCATTATTATACATTTATACACACACACATACATCCTCCAAGGAGATATATCAGAATCTTTGCAGGAGTGAGGACTCAAGTAGGAGTGGGGAATCACAAAGTTTCGAAGAGTAGGTTCCTCATATACCTAATGTTCTTATAACACAAACTATAAAAGCAAAAAAAAAAAAAAGATTGGCAAAATCCTGTTGGCTGTTGAGAATACTCAGAAAATGGACTGGGAAAGCATTATAGGGAATATGGGTTAAAAAGAGTGAGAAACATACACCTGAAACTGATGTAATACTGTGTGAACTACACTAAAAATAAATTAATTAAAAAACAAGTCACAGAAGCAAATGAAGTATTGCAAGAGTTACAAAAGACCTCTGTACGAACAACATTCTCTTCAGCAAATGGTGTGATATGGAAAAATCCACTCTAAGACTTAGCTAAGAGGGCTTCCTCAATGTCATTTTAGTTGAATCCGATAATTAAAAATTTTTTACAGTTTTCCAATATGCAAAATCCACTGTATTCATCAATAAGCAACTAGCCTTTCCTACGGAAGAAGGTAATATCCTTGATAAAGAGTGTTGAGCACTACATCTGAAACTAATGACGTACTCTATGTTGGCTAATTGAATTAAAAGAAAAAAAAAAGAAGAAAAAAGAGTGTTTTATGCAAGTAATGTCCAGTGAAGGTAAAAATCAACCATATGAAAATTTGCCTTTATGTCTAATTATATCCATAATGTACTCAAAATTAAAAAAAAAAAAGAATGAGAAACAGTTTTTTAGGATCTACAAAAATTTTTTGTCCCAGTACTAATGTTCCTGAGCCTGGTCTGTAAGATCAAACATCTAAGTGGGCTTTTATGTTTAATGGGTTCCTGAACTACTAGAACATAAGTTAAGTTTACCAGTCGCAATTGTGTCTCCTCCTTTAAATGCTTTCTGGCTTCACTCAGTGCTTGCCCTTCTGCAGTTCTCTCCTGCTTAGGACCCTTGAAAAGATAAATAAAATAGTATATATATATAAGGATTTAGAAAAATCTATATAGAGTTAGCTGACACTAGGGAAAATGATTATATTTTATATTTAATTAAACAGGTATAACAATGAATAAAGACAACAAAGAAATGGAAGCAGCTTAGAAAATAAAAAATTCTCAGCAGAACTGGGTTTTCTTGCCATTTAGTTTAAAGTCCTAAGATAGGTTACCAAATCAAGTGCAAGAAGTCTTAAAAGTCAGCCTCTAAAAACAAAGTGACATTTACTGTAAAATGTGAATTGGGCTAAAGGTTCAAATGGTAATATATTCCTTCTCCAGAGATCTCACATTTGGAGTCTCCAACCATCCAGAGAGATCATAGCTCAAAATAAGTAGGTCATCAGAAAATTCTTCTGAGCAGTCACAGTTGTTTTCACAACGTCCACACGTTAAAGTCAAACCCATTACTCGGAGAGAACTACTCTAGTCCCCACTCAGAGCCTAGCTGCTTACTCTTTCAGAACAATTTTAATAACCATGGATATTTGGATTCCTAGGTCACAGGAGAAGAGAAGCATGCAGATAAAAGGGAGTGGGGAGACACTAATACCAACAGCAGTGAGAAGCAAGAGATGCCAGTGAGATAAAAAAAGCAGAGAAAAAGCACCCAGAGCAATCTGGAAACATTTAAGTATAGGTGCTAGAAGCTCTATCAATTCCAACAGCCCCCCAAAGTAGCATCATTTTAAGTTAGCATGGAATTGCCGATGTTAATAATTAGGATCTTTCGTCATCATAAACGGCTAAATGTGTTAAATTATGTCCTTTACATAAGACTGCTTAGGATTGTGCAGTACATAAAAAGTTTGCAAAAAATCCGTGTAGACATATATCAGAAGTTTGATACTTAAGGGATTAAGTTATTTAGAAAACTCATTTACATAGTAACTCCGAGTGGTACCAAATAAACACTCCTTACAAAGCAGTAACACGATCTGAAGACAATGGTATATTTAATAAATATAACACTTAAATATTGTACAAATCATGAGTACATAACAAGACATTAAATTAGACTGGTTCTTGAAGTTTCTCAACAGACAGAGGTGGCGGTGAAGCCAAGGAGCATCTGTGGGAGGAACCTCACACCCACAGAATCTCCATCATTACCCGATTCTGCATGGAGTCTCAGTAAAAAGAGTGTGCTTGATATGTGCAAGTGCTTGCTGCTTCCAAAGAGTCCTCTAGAATAGAGGTCCCCCTCCCACTGCTCACATGTTAACACACTCTCTAGGAATATTTTATAAATCCAGTAAGGTTAACCTTCCGATTGGATTCCAATATGTAGGAGCTTTCCTCTTTAACTCGTTCCATTTCTTCTTGTAGGGTAATAATCCTATTGTTTGCAACTGCAAGCTGTTGAAAAAAATTTAAAAAATTTTTTAGTCTTTTTTTAGCACAGGATAATTCATGATCTGCTGGGATATAATTTTCAGGCTTGAATATTCTTAGAAGGAAAGAAGGTTATCTATAACCACATAAAAATGTTCTTATTGTATGAGAAATTAGGAAAAGTATTTTTAAACTAGATTAGATAAAAATAAAAAATATCTCCTATTGTTGCTTTTTGTGTAAACTCTTTTTCAGTTCCAAAATGTTAACTTAAGATTGTTTACTTCAAGGGTGTCCTCATGGGTAACTTATATTTAGTTATAATATCTATTTCTAAAATGTTTAATGAAGAGGTCATGTCATGCCTTGGGACTCATAAACCCTACATAAGACCTTTGATAGATGATTTTTAAGAGTAAAGAAATGAAACTTCAAAGTTCTCACTCTAAAAGATGCCATTAAGTATTGAAGAAATTTGTCATTTCAGTGCCTGAAAAGGTAAGGTAATGTTATTAGCAGTATATTGCTCAGGGGAGACGTTTATATCCGCATTCCACAGGAGGGAAAAGTAAAGTGGAAACACTTTTTCCTCTTCTGCAACTGCTAACCTTGATTTCCCACAGAGAACATGGAACAGCCTGAGTAAGCGTAGGAAAGGCCCTCAGCAGGCTCCTCTCGGCCAGGCTAATCTCCCTTTACACGATCTCCTCCCGAGCAGTGGGCACAGGTTCTGCTTGGTTCCTGTTCTAGTGCCTAAGTACAGAGGAGCCAGGGCTCAGGCATGCTTTCTAGAGGCAGGTCTGGAAGTCCATATATCCCTCTCCGCTCCATGGGCCTAACAATGCATAAAAAAGTTAACTTTGGACAAGTGGGCCTCTAGATCCAGAGACATCCTCAAACAGGTTCTCCCAAGACCTTAAACATCAGAGAAAGTATCAGGAAACTATAGTTGTACAGCCCCGTGGGCCTTCTAATTCAGCTTTACAATAATAAAGTGGACATTTATGTGTCTTCATCTGTTTAATTCTTCTCATTTTATCATACTGGTTCAGAATTCAGGAAAGGAAAAGAGGGGCTTTGGTTTTTGTTTTTTATTGGCCCTCTTAAATCCAAAATATATGGAAATGGGAAAAGACAGATCTGATTTGTCTTATCTGTTCTTTATAAAGCCTACACACAGGGCTTACCTGTCTCTAAAAATTCAAAGTTTCAAGAAAATAAAGGTTACTGGCAAAATAAGTACATGAATGAATAAATTAATATTGGTAATAAAATATATCTGGATCAGGAGGACAAGTCTTGTGACTGAGGGAATAAAATTAATGACCACATTTACTGGCTGCTTATGGTGTGTCAGGCACTGGCCGAGGTCCTTATGTATTATCATTCAATTCCCGCAAAAACGTTACTATTATCATTCCCATTTTAGAGAGAAGACAACCAAGAAATAGAGGCTTAAGTTATCGGCCAGGATTAGAAAGCTAGCAAGTGCCAGAGCTGGGACATGAATGCAGGTAGCCGAGCTCTAGAGCCCATGCTTCACTGTGGTGCCATATTGCCTCAACAGGGTAGCAGCCGACTCACACTACAACACTTCTAATCAGCATATTTCAAAAGCTTTGTAGAGTAAAATTCTAAGGATCATTTCCATTAAGCTTTTTTTTTTATTTAAAGATTTTATTTATTTATTTGACAGAGAGAGAGAGCGCACAAGCAGGGGGAGCTGCAGAGGCAGAGGTAGAAGCAGGCTTCCCGCTGAGCAGGGAGCCTGATGTGGGACTCGATGACCTGAGCCGAAGGCAGACGCTTTACCAACTGAGCCACCCAGGGGCCCCTCCATTAAGTTTTAATATAATTTAAGAATCTACATCCAAAAGTGAAGCCCACAGAGCTAGTAGTAAGGAAGGTGTTTTAAAGTTATAACAATGAAAATGTTCTGAAGAAAACTGTTTAAAGGCATCTTCCTGACTAGTGCTTGAACTTGGTTTTATTTAAACCAAATGTATGCCATGGTATAAAAGAGGATAGTTATAATAAGAAATAGAATAGGGCGCCTGGGTGGCTCGGTCGTTAAGCGTCTGCCTTCGGCTCAGGTCATGATCCCAGGGTCCTGGGATCGAGCCCCACATCGGGCTCCCTGCTCGGCAGGAAGCCTGCTTCTCCCTCTCCCACTCCCCCTGCTTGTGTTCCTGCTCTCGCTATCTCTCTCTCTCTGTCAAATAAATAAATAAAATCTTTAAAAAAAAAAAAAGAAATAGATTAAGATATAGATAAGATAAACAAAGTCTTTGCCACCTGGAAAATTTTACTTAAGATTTTTCATAGAAACATCTAATGCTATTGAAGAAAAAAATATGTAGCTTAGCCACTGACAAATTAAAAAATTTCTTTACTAAAGGGAAGCAAAACACGATGTCAATTTTTATTCTTATTTTGGGGACTTTCCTAAGGGTTTTCACGTATATATTCTGTGATCTTCAGAGTAACTATAAGGCTGAAAGGAGAAGTATAAACATCCTCAACTGCCAGGCAGGGAACTGGGCCTCTTGGAGGTCAAGTGACTTACTTGCTCAAAAGCACATGACTTGTAAGCAGCATGACATGCAATCAGGGATTGCTGGCCTTCCGACAATGCTCTTTAAATTATCTACCCTATACCCCCAAGGAGAAAATAAGGCCCATGAGGGTGGGAGCCTGCCAATCTGGCACACGTAAGTCAATGCACACAGAAATCTTTGTCTAGCTCTAGCACATAAGCAGTACCCAAATAAATGTCTGTTGAATGAACAAGTAATGAGTACCAAGCTATTTGCTTCCACTAGTGCACATTAAACTGTATGTCAATCAAAGAATATCCAAAACACATACCTCCTCTGTCAGTTTAGTGTTGGATTTTTCTAACGCATCCACTTTTGCCTGAAGATTGTTTACTGTAGCACTATAAAGAGAAGAAAAAAGGTAATGGTTTCTCTTGAAAAACAGAACAACATCCTGTACTACCCATGTAAACATCCATCACAGGTATCACCCATCATCTAATGTCCACAATTCATGGTGGACTTGCAGCCTCTAAGACAGTTCACAAGCGGCTGTGGATCTTCCCTGTTGTACCCTTGGCACTGAACTCTGTACTTAATAAGCACTTGTTGGATGAAATAAAAGAACTGATCCACTGCACTGTCAACTTTAAAGTTTACTTATATGTAATAATCAGCTACCCGAATTAAGTGCTTGACATACACCAAGAACTCTTCTAAATTATTTTATTTGCATTATTTCATTTACTCCTTTTGACAACCCTATGCAGTAGGTATCCCTAAATATAGATAAAGAATCTGAGGCATGAAAAGAGTCAGTAACAGTCATGTTTCTATTTCACTATCAAATGTAAGTGTACTTCTGCTTGACTAACATCTCCATAATTCACTGTAGTCATTATTAGTTCTTGGTCCCCAGAGAAAATATACTTCAACTGTTCTTGAATTTTCTAGCTGAAACCAAGACTATTCAAAATTTATTTATTTATTTAAAGATTTTATTTATTTATTTGACAGAGAGAGAGCGAGAGAGGGAACACAAGCAGGGGGAGTGGGAGAGGGAGAAGCAGGTTTCCTGCTGAGCAGGGAGCCCAATGCGGGGCTCGATCCCAGGACCCTGGGATCACGACCTGAGCCAAAGGCAGACGCTTAACGACTGAGCCACCCAGGCGCCCCAAGACTATTCAAAATTTATACTGATTCTCGTATAATCAGATTATAGGTCTTACTTAAATTATCTTTATAAGAGAATTATAAAAAATAATATCTAATCGATATATTAATTTTTCAGAATTATTTGACAGTCTTTAGCATAACAAGAACATCAATGTATTTGAGAATACCAATAGACTGTTTCATGTTCTGGACAGTTCTGAAAAATAGTGAATATTTGGTAAATTAATGATAGTGACGGTGAAGAGAGGGTAAGTTAATACTATCAATTCAATGTATAAATGAAAATGCAAGGGACCAACATGATACAACGAATCTAAAGGTACTAAGGCAATGAGTGGTTTGCCCACAATTGGCCTTGAAATATGTGGTTGGGTCTACTGATCCAAGAGGGCTGCCACTGTCAACTGCATATGTCACATGTTTAAGAATTCTTAACTGAATATACTTAATATACTTAATTACATACTAATCTTATACTGCCTTTCACTAAAGGTCACCAAAATAGTTAAATGACATTTAATTTAGTGCCTAGCTCAGTGCCTGGCAAGAAGGAATTCCATGTATTTTTGTTGAGCATTGCCTGAATTTATCCTCATGGCTCATCAGTTTATTCTTCCTTTCCTTCACAACAAAATCCCCAGGAAAGTAAAAATATTTATTCATTCTTTACTTTAGATGTCTGTTGAGCTCTTCTACATAGTTCTTCTGATCCAGAATTGCAGTAATCTGGCCATCTCTGGGGTGGGGGTGGGGGGATAGAAATAAAATAAGTAACATTAGAATTACCAAGATCCTCCCTTCCCCAGTCTTTTCATATAACATAGAAAGGAAAACCGTAGCACAGATACACTGAATCAAAAGACAGACCTGATGTATAATGCCTCCAAGAAGAAAGACTCAGATGCTTAAAAATGAAACAAAAAATTCCCCACATTAAAAAGCCTTTATTATAGCTTACATGCCTTCATAACTTAGGTTATAGATATAACATTACATTCTATCAGAGGCATTTAAAAAATAAAAATTTTCTTCTCACAATTGATAGCCTTTTTAGCTTTGCCGGTACTACTTATAACAACAATTTTCCATTTGTCATAGGAATTGAATTAAACTGATTTTGGTATAATAATAGTTCTTCCCAAAGGCCATAATTTTGCCTTTCAATGTTAATTTTATTTCAAAGTGATTGGTATAAAAAGCTTTCATAAAGATCAAGTGTTTATTGTTACGTGAGAAAATAAAGAGTGGAAACAGGAGGTTCACTTCTGGAACCGACTAATTTGTAACAGGCAAGTTAAAAAGCCAGACTTTTCAATTAAAGTCAAATCAAGGCCACATACCTCTAGCACTACACTTAAAGAACAAACGATATAGTCTTGGCTCAGTGTCCAACGTTAAGAACTTCAGATTAATTGTGCTTTCAACTGCTAAATTTATAAAGGGTATTAGGTAGTACTCTTCTGGTGTTTAATTTCTAAGGACCATATGGATATTTTAAAAACTTTTTTGAAATGATTTTAGATTTACAAGACTTGAAACAGTAGTGCAGAGTTCCCATATACTCCTCACTCTGTTACTCCTAATGTCAACATTTCACATAAGTCCATAAGGCATGTTTCATATTTCACATTCTAACAAAACCGAGAGGGCAATCTTCCTGATCAAGAAGACCATGTTTTCAAACACGACTTCAAGAGATGGAGCACTGAATTCTTTTATAAACCCCTTTACTTTGTTAGCCACTGAACCACACAGTAGGAAAATCACTTAACTACAACCTCTTTTAGGGTTTAGGAGGCACAAGAGTCAGCTCTTTTTGACAAAACTCTATTAAAACTATATCATCAGAAATTCTTTTAGCAAGTCTGTTAAAGCACTACTGTTGTAAACTTTAAATGCTATCAAAGAACATTAAGGAAAAAAGAAACTTGATTTTCTCTGTACATACCCTTCACTACCTTTACTGCTGTTCCCATCCTTGAGATACATTGAAAAATCTATAACTCCAACCTACAGAGAGAATTTTCAGAATTTAATATAAAATTAGATACTTTTTCTAAGGCATAATGTCTCTTTCTAGGCATTCTAAACAGTAATAAAGTCATAGCCTTATTTGAAATTTTTGATGAAAATGTAATGTAATCAAGAACTCGAAAAGGGGTGAAAGTAAGTAAAGAATCGAGATTAAGGCAAGAAGGACCAGAAGACCAGGTCATGCAAGTCAACACAAGACTCTAAGAACGTCAATAGAATGCTTACTATAAATTTAAGGCTTAAAGTTTCTTTCTCTTTCGTTTCTCTCAAGTATTCTGCTACTGAACCCTATTCACTTTTAGGAATAATGTTTTAAAAATTCTAATTACAAAAAGAATGCACATTTCCTTAAAAAAGTTTCAGAAAATACAGATAAGTAAAAGGAAGTAATACAAAATACCCATAGTCCCAACCACCACTGTAACATTTTGGTATTTATTCTTCCAAACTCTCACTGATGCACTATGTCTAAATTTTTCAGGACTGCTTTTATTATTCAGCTTATTTGTTTTTTAAAATCCAGGTCAAAATATCCTACTTCCTTTTCCATTTTCTCAGAGTAAAAAGTAACAGAAATTTGCTGTAGAATTTCATAGAGAACGGGTGAGAAAGAATCAGTGTGAAAGTGAAAGCTTTATTTATTGAGCAATCAATTATGTTCCAGGCTCTGCACAAGGTACATCACATGTACTAACTCTTTTATTCCACACTATAAATCTATTAAATAGATATACCCTTTTTTGGTCCCTGTATTACAGCTAAGAAATGTGAAGCATCAAGAAACTAACTACAAAATTTATTCAGCTAAAAATTAAAGAAGCAGAATTTGAACCTAAACAGTTTGGCTTCTGTAATTCATAACTACCATGCCCGTGTATATATTTTAGCTTGTGTGTGTGTATTTTAGTCTGTACTAAATATTTTATTTTTATTTTATTATTTTTTAAAGATTTTATTATTTGACAGAGAGAGAGAGATAGCGAGAGAGGGAACACAAGCAGGGGGAGTGAGAGAGGGAGAAGTAGGCTTCCTGTTGAGCAGGGAGCCCGATGTGGGGCTCGACCAGGACCCTGGGATCATGACCTGAGCCGAAGGTAGATGCTTAACTGACTGAGCCACCCAGGCACCCCAGTCTGTACAAAATATTTTAAACAGGGATTACAGTCAAGGTAAGAATTTGAAAAACATTCATAATACATAAATGAGTCAAGTTAGAAGGAAAAACAAAGTAATTGTTTATATTCACATCAAAGATTTAAAAATCCCATTTATGACTCACAGAATTTCCCTTAATTTGGTTGGTACAATCTGATCCATCCAAATTCTGAGATAATAGAACTCAGAGTGACCCACTTGGTAACTGAGCATCTTTTGCATACCTGAGAGTCCAAGTCTTCTCCTTTCATACAGAAATTGGCATCAATGACATTCAGACCCACCAAGAGACCAGCGATTATGGCTCCTTCTTCTTCCATCATGAGGGCATTGGGTTCATAGAATTCGCTGTAAGAGAATTCACGGAATACCAATAATAAAACCTCAAGAATCCAATGATGTAATCTTGAGACAAGCAGAAAATGCTGGCCTCATAGTTGAATATGGGTACTATGATAATAGCAAAAAAGTTAAAAAAAAAGATGGCTTGGATAGTTTATTTTAGATAATAAGTACATGAATAGACTCTAGATAATAGTCCAGCTGAAAGATAAGTGACGAGAATGGTATTTTCACTGAAGTGATTACTTATGCTTTTCCCACATATTTGTATCTGAGATGCAAGGGATAATTTTTCAATCTTAAAGCGTCTTTAAAAAATTGGTTTGTTTTTCAAAATTTGCCTCAGATCTGCTTTATTTATAGGTGGGTGTGTAGTGGTACCATACTTATTCTAATTTGTATTTACATGACAGCTAGTGAATTTACTTACATATTTACATACATACATATATATATATATATAAAAAAGATGTATTTATTTATTTGAGAGAGAGAGAAAATGTGTGCTTATGAGTGAGGAGAGGGGCAGAGGGAGGAAATCCTCAAGCAGATTCCCAGCTGAGCACGGAGCCTGAGGTGGGACTCCAGCCCACAACCCTGAGATCATGCCCTGAGCTGAAACCAACAGTCAGACAACTTAACCAACTGAGGCACCCAGGCATCCCTATACATATTTATAAAGGAAGCTCTACATCCAATGTGGGACTGAATTCAGGACTGGAAGATCAAGAGTCGCATGCTCTACTGACTGAGCCAGCCAGGAGCCCCTCTTTTTTATGTTTACTAGCCATTTTGATTTTCTCTTATGAAGTGCCTGTTCAAATCCTTTACTCATTTTTACATTTACTTGTCTTTTTCTAACTGGACTGAAGGAATTCTTCACATACCCTGAATATGCATCATTTGTTGAATATATATATTACAAATATCTCCTTTCACTCTACAGGTTGCCTTTTAATCTTGTGTCTTGATGAATGAAGTTCTTCATTTTAATGTAGACCAATGTACCCATTTTTCCCTTTAGGGGTAGAGTTTTTTATGTCTTGTTTAAGAAATTTTGTCTACCTTATATTTTTTTCTAAAAGTTTTACTGTTTTCTCTTTCCCGTTTGTATCTATAATCCACCTGGAAAGTTTTTTGTGTATGTTGTTTTTAAATTGCACGTTACACATCAACTTCCTGTCTTACTGGGTTTGGGTACATGCTAAGGTGTCAAAAGCCTTTCCTGTTTTTTGGGGGGTATTACGTTTTGGCCTGCCCTGTATATATGCCACAGTGACAGACTAAACGTATGTAACAAATAAACATCTATTCTTGAGTAGGTGTGTGTGAGGTGTGGGAGAAGGTATTAAGTTGAACTACATGAAACTGCCATGAATCAACTGCTTTTGATCTGCGAAAATGGCAAATTTCTGATTCAACCTCATACAGTGTAGAACATAGGAAGAAAAGAAAAAAGTTTAACAAGATGTTCATACCTGAGAAGTTCCTTCTTATTGATCAAAGCTTTCATATATTCTGAGAGTTTCTTTTGCATTAATGCCAAACGAAGCCAGGCTCTTCCTCTGCCTACTGGTGTCCTACAGAAATACAGGAACCAAACAACTCAAAGTAGCAGAGCTGGGGGCCACTGTGGGACAGATTCACTTACTCTTGCTAACAGTCCCCAGTATAACATGCACACTGAGGTGCTCCTTACAACCTCCTTCACCTCATTCCTATGTGAGGAATTCTGTGTGGGCTGTTGGGATGAAGGGGCTCGTGGGTCTGGGAGGGGTGGGTTTGGAACAAGTGCTCTTGTGAAGAATTAATTACTGAATGAGACTACGATTTGAAGACAAAACCTCTGGGAGGCCCAACTGAAAATGTTCCATCGCATTAGCATTGGTAAATCCTCAGACTTAGTGTGGATCATGTAAGTACCCAAATACTAGTAATGTGGACACAGTCCATTTAGGTCTCTATCTGATTGAAGTTAAACGAGTCTAATTTGGGAAGATGGTTACTACTCTTTTTCCAGTTCTGAGGCAGGGTCCTGGTGTCTGTTGCTGAGGTTCACCGGACAACTGTTTTAATCTTGGCTCTCAAACTGCATTGAACACATTCTTTTTCTTAGTCATGTCTAGCACGGTCCCTCCTTAGATCTAATTTCTTGAGACGTGAACTGATTCCCACAAGTGCTTTAAAAAATAAGAAAATGTTTGGTTTTTTAATACGAATACAACCTCTTTAAAATTAATAACAATTATCCCTCACAGGCATGCTTCTCTTAATATTCTATATTAGCAGTTCTCTCACAATAGTGCCAATTCATAAATACAGTATTCTTTTTGGATTGTTATGAAATAAATTATTATGGTCATTGTCATCTTTAGTCTTCAAGGAGATAATTAATAAGAATGTTTTCCTAACAGAATTCAACCTTAAACTTACTTAAGTCCTGGAAGATCTTTAACACTTGCTGTTATCTCTGCAGCTTCTGGAACAAGCTTTTCTACCAATTCTAGAGGACCCCAGAAGGATTTATTTTGTCCAAGAAAAGTTTTCTTAGCTAAGGTGATAAAAACAAAGCAGTATTTCAATATTCTTTACAACATAAACATGACCTCAAAACATAAACACATACACACACTTCTCTCTCATCTGTTCAATCCTTTTTCTCAGGGAACTAGACCTAAATTATCAGACAGTTCTAAAACTATTCACGCTTTCAGAACAGGTAACATTTTGTGACAATCAAAAATCTCCCACTTCCCAAGATTCAGTCCTTCCTCTTTCAGGAAGAACTTATAACTAGCTCTATGATATAATAAAACATTTTAAGAATACAGTACTTAAAGCTGCATGGTATTAGTGAGGAAAACAGTCCAAAGGAAAAGAATACGCAATCCAGAAACAGGCTATTAGATACTGGGGAGGGAGGAGAGGAAGCAAGGAGAACAAGACCAGGTCCTGCCCTCAAAAGCTTATGGTTAAGTGGAAGAGCACAAAAGCAAGCGTCCACTGTGTGACCTTGGGCAAGCTACCTCCCCTTCTAGGCCTGTTTCCACCTGTCAAACAGAAGGGCCGTATTAGAGAGTAATGCCCGTTCCAGCTCTAGCATTTAGTAATCAGTGTTTTGTAAGTCCTGTATGCCCTTTAATTCAACCACATCCCCATGTCCATATAGGGGGCATTCCAATAGCTTAGTATGACTAATTCAAGCCTCTTATTCTTTGGCTCCATAAAGACCGCTTTTCTTCTTGAGCATGTACTGCCAGAATACGGCTGTGTGCACCTCTGCATCCTGGGGCCATGGCCTACCCTTCAAGCCGTGTTTCAGGCAGTGCTCCATCACCACGAAGAACTGCTGGAGGGGTGCGTAGTCTGAGTCCAGAGTTCTCCCCAGGTTCAGAGCAGATTCAATCAAGCCCTTGATACTCAGCTTGGCCATGTTCATCAGGTTCATGCGTTCGTTAGCCATGAGATAATTAGGATCTACAGCCAAAGAGGGAGAGGACGGACCATGGTTACCAGAAACAGCACACTTAAAAATTCAGCATGTCACTGTGTTGACCTTAGCATTGAAGGTGCAAAAGCAATGCTTGGTAGGGCTGGTGGTATCTTGCTAAGAATGAAGACAGTGGCACCAAACTATACTGTTAGGTTTTATATTCTCTGCCAACTACTCGCTGTTAAAAAAAAAAAAAGAAGGAGAAAGCCAATTTCCCTTAGGAATATTCTTGGTGCAACAGTGAAGCTGCTTATTTTATCAAATTTCAAGCCTTGAGTACAGTCTTAATGTTCTCACCACCACCCCTGCCACCACCCTAACTTGGGGCTCATCACAGCCCACTACTGCACAGCATTCACACTGGTCTCCGTGATTCCTCTCTGGCCCTGCCCCCTCATTCTCCACAGTCTGTGAAGCGCTCTGAAAATTACAGCCAAAGTAGGAAAAAAAAAGTACTTAAACTTTGTTCCAAATATACTATTCACATTATTAGTATTACTACTTATGCTAATTAGCATTATTTAAACTAAGCATTATTGAGTAAACTAAAAATAATTAACAGTATTAGCTCCCCAATTTTTAAGACTCAGCATGCAGTGTGATAAACTTCTTAAGGGACTAAGTACCACATTTTATCTGACAGAACTCAGAACATTCCAGGCACTCACGACTTTCACTTCCTGGTGCCTACCCTGTGCCAGGTACTGTGTAGGCTGCTTCTGGCAGTTATGATTTCAATCCCTCCTTATCGGCAGTAAGAGACAACAAAAGCAAAGTCTAAACCCTGGTTCACTGACTCCAAAACCTATGCTCTTTACCACTATAATCCACTTACAAGTGAACCAATGACTCCAAAGAATATTTATCCTTCCCTCCTGTTGGCCATTCTTTTACTATCTTATTTAATTCTTGTGACTCTGTCATTAAGTACTGTCCCTTCTTTTACGGTGGTAAAGCAGGCCAACAGAGTTTTCAGATCCAAGGCCAAACAGTTCATAAATGGCAGAATTTGGACCTAGATCTGACATGAAAGCTAATGCATCCTCTCAAACATCAAATATATCATATTCTTTAAAAACTGGAAAAGGCGGGACGCCTGGTGGCTCAGTCGGTTAAATGGCTGTCTTCGGCTCAGGTCATGATCCCAGGACCCTGGGATTGAGTCCCCCATTGGGCTCCTTGCTCAGTGGGGAGCCTGCTTCTCCCTCTCCCTGCCCCTCCCCCTGCTTGTGCTTTCTCTGTCTCTGACAAATAAATCTTAAAACAAACAAACAAATTGGAAAAGGCCTAGACATCTATGAATTATTTTACTTCTTAGGATAGCAAAAAATACTAATAAAATCCATACTCCCATAATATAAAAAAGCTACAACATAAAACAGATTATTTTATTCAAATTGGCCTTAATTTTCTTCATGTAATGTTTTCATTTGTATCTGTTTTCACAGTTAAATAAGTAGAATCAAATGCCAAATTCTAAGCTAATTTTCATTAAGTTTACGGACTTGTAGATTTATAATTCCAACTATACAAATCTTGGTTTGTTGTGCTCTCTGAGATAATACTTTTAGAGCAATACTTTGTATTATAAAGTCAGAATTGGTATATATTGTCATTAATTCTTTCTTGCACAACAAATGTTTTAAGGCTATGCCTCAAATGTGACTCTTTGCTCAGGGCAGGTCAACTCGTCAAGACCAGAACAAGCTCACAAGATGACACTGAAATACACAAAAATCTACCTCCTAAGAAACAGCCATGAAAAACAACTTTATTAGATAGTAATTTCCAACTTTGTTACTGGCATTTATGTGCACTCCAGTGTTTCTAAGACTTATTTATTTTAGAGAGAGAGAGAAAGTGCAAGCGAGCAGGGGGAGGGTCAGAGGGAGAGAGAGAGTCTTAAGCAGACTGTGCTGAGCATAGAGCTTGAGGCAGGGCTCGATCTCATGACCCTGAGATCATGGTCTGAACAGAAATCAAGAGTTGGACGCTTAACCGATTAAGCCACCCGGGCACCCCGCACTCCAGTGTTTCTAACCTTCCATAATCACTGGAAGAAAGGAATGGCATAGAGGTGTGTGAGTGTGCATGAACGTCTGTGGAGAGCAACTAGATTCTCTATTTAACGCCTCCCAACAGATGGCAAGAAAATGTTATTAGAGAGCTGGATTTGAGACCTTTTGCCAGAAGCGGTGATAGATTTACACTTCTACATTGTCTCATCTCATTCTTCTTATAATCATTAGCAAATTGTTCAAGACATCTGTTTGGGGTCTGGTGAATAAACTACACAGAAAGATGAGCTAATGCCTAGGGAAATTAAAGTCCTAATACCTCGTACATTATTAGTATGGTGTTATAACCTGTTTGAACTAATCTAAATCAAACACAACCCACTCATTCTTTAGAAAGTATTACTCTCAGCTTCAGTACTATTGACATTTTGGGCCAGATAATTCTTTTTTGTGGGGGGCTGTTCTGTGAATTAAGTTTAGCAGCAACCAGACCTTTACCCACTAGGCGTCAGTAGCACTCTCCAGTTATGACAACCAAAAATGTCTCCAGATACTGCCAAATGCCTGTCCCCTGGGAGACAAAATCAGGCTCCCTCCCCGTTAAGATTTCCTACTCTAAACAAATAAAAGAAGGTCAAACAAAAATTATGCCTAATTTGACAATTAGGCATAAAAGCTCAAAAGAATTTACTGCTCATTAATTATTTAATGCAGAAGCTAAAATGATTTTTACTTAATGCTTATAATTTTTGTGTTGAATAGTATACAAGTGTATGGGCATTACGAATAATTTTAATTACTTTTTTCTAGTTAGTACTAAAGCAAACTACTGAAAATAGTACTTAAAATTTTTTACATTTTGTAATGTTGGCTAGTAGTAATGATCACTAAATCACTAACTTGTCATAGGAATAACAAATAACTCTATTCAATCGGTTTGTTACTTGTCTTAAATCACACTCAAGTATAAAATGATTTTGCAGAACAAATATATGCTGATAAAAAGGGTTTCAGTGACACAACGAGAGCATGGAAGGAGTTCTGAGGGGCAGGTGAAGTTCTGTTTTTTTTATATGGCTGTTAGTTATGTGAAATTGTTGAGTGTGTGAAAATTCATTGCACTGAACACTTACAATGTGATCTTTCCTGTATATTTTATACTTTTAATTATAAAAAGTTTTTTTTAAGATTTTATTTATTTATTTGATAGAGCACAAGCAGGGCAAGTGGGGAGGAAGAAGCAGACTCCCCACTGAGCAGGGATCCCGATGTGGGGCTTGATTCCAGGACCCTGGGATCATGCCCCAAGCCAAAGGTAGATGCTTAACGGACTGAGCCACCCAGGCACCCCTATAGACGGTTTCTTTTTTAAGTTTTGTTACATTGTATAGGCCAGAAAATGATTTTTAAAAATGCATGACTTTCACAGTGTCATTAGTCATATTTTTTCTATGAGAAAAATATCTAAAATGTTTAACAATGCTAACATTTAACACTATTATTCCAAAACTGAACTTTTGCTCATTCATTCATTCATTCATTCATTCTTTTTTTTTAAATAAATAGTGAACATCTACTGGGTATTAGATACTATGCTTAATGCTGGGAATCCAGAGATAAAAGACCTAGTTCCTGACATCAAAGTGCTTACTATTTATCAAACTTGGGTTACATAGATGTCTGAAGAACAAAACAGGACAGCTTACAGAGAAAACTTGAAATTTCACAATAAACATTATCATCTTTGACAAAGATCAATTTTATTCCAGGACATATAAAATGTTTTTATATTAGGTTAACTAGACCTTTTCTATGGAATCAAATGTAAATTTTATATATTTTTTAAGGCTAAGATACTAGATGTGATATTAATGTAAAATTTCAGGCAGGCTATATGTAAGTCCGATACAATCTCCTCTGCCACTGGATGTGGAAAAGTTTGAGAAGTAGTGCAAATGTACTGCAATAAGAACACTAACAAAAGTATACACAGGACATTACAGGTACATGTACAGAAGAAAGCTATCTGACCCACCCCCTTTCCCTTCATATTTAAAGGGCAGGTATGTGGATATACGTTCTCAGAGGATAAGGCTGTTTTTGTTTTAGCTTATAAAATATGTTTATTCACTCTGCAGCATTTTAAGGCAATTAAGAAATATCCATTAACATGACTTACTTAACATTGTACTGAGGGTTGTGGAGGAACGCAAATAAAGAAGATGAAGAAATTAGAAGCATATAACCTGTGAAAGAGTGGATCAAATATTACCGCTCTCACACAATCTGATTTTATACCCAGAAAATCAAACGAACAAAATTTGTACAAAAATACAATAATTCATAGAGGTAACAGAATACAAAATTAATAACAGATATCATTAGGGGGGCACCTGGGAAGCTCAGTCGGTTAAGTGGCCGACTCTTGATTTTGGCTCAGGTCACAATCTCAGGGTGCTGGGATGGAGCCCCGAGAGGGGCACTGCACTCAGCTGGGAGTCTGCTTGAGGATTCTCCCTCTCCCTCTGCCCCATCTCCCGCTCATGCACTTTCTAAAGTAAATAAAATACATCTTTAAAAAAATAAAAGAAATCATTAGATGCCATATATTTCAGTAACACGGGATGAGACTTTTGAGTTCGGTCTCTAAGGACAAAAAGACATTAGACAAGGAGGGGTAGGCATAGAGCTGGGAAGGGAGCAGAATGAAAGGAATAGCTCAGGCAAAGGCACCTAAGTATGAAAGAACTTGGCCCACTAAGAAAAATAAAATGGAAAACATGCCAGAAACTTATGGTGCATATGAGTAAATGCTGTGAGAAGAGATGAGGTCAAGGAGAGACTGCTAAGGATCTTGGTTAAGGAGTATGGATTTTACCTTAAAGTCAGGAAAGATTTGAATGAGAGGCGTAGGTCACAGATTGGAATTTTAGAGAAGCCGTTCCCACAGCCGTGTGGAAGGTGGA